AGGAGAGGATGTGGGAGAGAAGGACCAGCAACGAGAAAGCTCCGCGCTGGGAGGAGCAAGGAGCCTGGTCGTAAACTTTTATATGAGACCCTTGTGTGAGATGTCACTGCCAAATATTTTTTACTCTCTGTGGATTTTCTTTTCACTCAAGGTTTGAAGCACAATCTGTTAGACCTACTAGACCAAGTAAGTAGAATTGAAGAATGTAAGGTCAATATATAAAAATCAGTGTGATTTATCTACAATAACAAAGAAAACATGGAATAGGAAACTAAGAAAACAATACCATTTATAATAGCCGGACACAAATTGAGATACTTGGGAATAAACCTATCTAGGAACCCTAAAGACTTATAAGTAAAACTATGCATAACTATTGCAAAAAACAATGAGACCTAACTAAACGGAAAAATATTCCCTATTCTTGGATAAGAAGACTCAACATATTAAAAATGACAGTTTCCCCCACAAGTAATCTATGTGTTCAACACAATCCCCATACCAATACCAAAGACCAAATTTTAATTCAAAGGTATAGAAAAGGCAATTGGCAAGTTTATTTGGAGAGAAATGAGGCACAAAATAAATGACACTTATGAAAAAAACGGAGTGAGAGTCAGCATTTTCTGAACTCAGAATCTGCTTCACAGCTATAATAATCAAAACATCATAGTGCTGGTATAATTACAGACACACAGACCAATGGAACATAATCAAAACCCAGAAATTAAACCATCCACTTACAGTCAACTGGTATTCGACAAGAAAACAAAGCCTATCAAATGGGGAAACAACAACCTCTTCAACAAATAGTGCCAACAAAAATGAGTATCTACCTGCAGAAAGCTGAAGTAAGATTCACATTTTAGTTCATACACAAAAATCAACTCAAAGTGGATCAGAAGCCTAGGGTAAAGTCCAAAATCATAAGATCATAAGAGAAAAAATGAGACCAAATTTAGAAGGCTTGATCTTGGTTGTGATACATACAGTGGAATTAGAACTGACCCATAGCCAACTCTTCGATGGTTTTCAGAGGCATTTAATCGCACAGGAGGAGATTGCCCATCCTTCTCTCAAGGAACAGCTGGTGGCCTTGAACTGCATGCCGTCAAGATTGCAGGGCAGCTGCTTGCCACTAGGCCACCAGTGCTCACTCTAGAAGGCCTAGCCTGTGGTAAAAATAGGTTTTAAAATATTGCCAAAAATGCACAAGCAGGAGAGGACAAAATTGAAATATTCTTTTTGATGATGAACACACCACTATTCTTACTCAATTTATTTTCATTATGGTATATCATGTGATCATTTGATTCAAAATGGCCAGTACCATTCCACTTCAACTCACCAGTGCCCAAGGATGTCAGTCTTCATACATTAGTTTTCATTTGTGACAATTTCCATTTTCCTAGGTTCATAATTTTTTCCATTCCAGGTTTCCAATCATTACTGTGTGTTTGCAACTTTCTTCCTCAGTTTGAGTCTTAGCACATTAGCAAATGAAGATTGGGTCTTCACTGGGTGAAAGATTTACTCCATCCACATTACTGTGGTAAACTCTGCTTTCAGAAGGCAGCTCTTCCCCAGTCAGTCACGTTACAACTAGAGGGGCTTCTCTCTTGGCACTATATCCAACAATGGGCATGTTCCGTCGTTTTACTGTACTGTGGTAACTTGTGTATTGCTCTGGTGCTGGAAGTTGTGCCTCTGATATTTCAAATACCAGCAGGGTTAACCTGGTGAACAAGTTTCAGCAGACCTTCCAAAATAAGACAAAATAAGAAACTGGACTGGCCACCCCCTCCTAAAATAACAGGCCTTCAGAACCCTATGAGTAATGAAAGAACATTGTTGTGGAAGCATTGTATGTTGGTCTTTCTTTTTTTCCCCCCCCTATTTAAGATGTTACAATTTTTAACATAAGAAACATTAGTAATTGTTTTTATTATTCGTTTGACTAAGATTAATAACAGACTATTTCTAAGAAGTTTCAGGTCAACATAGTCCCAAATACTTACTCATATCCATCTGAGGTTTGATTCCCCAATTCCTCAATGGCCCTTGGGTTCCATAATTTGTTAGCAGGTCTCCCAGAGACTCAGACCTGTCACAAGAATGACTCACATGACCATAAGTATGCAGGTTAGTTTTGGAGACACTGATCAGTGATGGGCCAGGATCTTGTAGATTGTCATTTGTGGCATAGCTAGATGGCAACTGTGGGTGATGCTGTCAGGTGGTGCAGAGACTGATAAGCAATGGGCCAGAATCCTGTAGACTGTCACTTGGGGCATAGCTTGATGGTGATGCAGTTGTGTTGTTATTTCATTGGGAAAATCTACTACAAAGACTTATGTATAGTTTTAAAATCTAAGATGTCACTTTAATAGATTATGTATTATGCATCTGACAGTGTGTTTTCAGTTGACTCATGTATTTCAATGCTGATCAATGAAATAGAATGAAGAAGAGTGGAACTGTTTGAACACTGGTGTTTTTAAGAAACATTGAATTTACTATGGCTTGGTAGAGACAGATTCTTAAAGAAATAAAGTTAGAATGCTTCTTATAATCCATGGTGTTGAGACTTGTCTTGCCTTTTGGGGACATGTTATCCATCATCAAGGACCAATAGCTGAAGAATGATATCATGATTTATTTATTTATTTATTTATTAAAT